ACATAAAAAAGGAGCTTTACAAATAAATTTGAAGCGTAACTGAAAATGTTACTTTATTTGTCACAGCACCTCACATAAAACAGATCAGTATTAATTGTAATTGTTAATTCGTTGCGTTTCCTGCATCAGGTTGTGACACATCAGACTTTTGCATTTTTCTTCTGCGTTTTCATGGCTTTTTCTGCAGCTTCTCTCAGTTGTTGCTTATTGGACAGGATTAGGTCCTTAAATATTCTTCTGTAGATTCTGGATTCATTTTGCTGTCGTCTTAGTTTCTGTCATCTTAATCAGCCATGCAAGCCCACACCATCTTTAATATGAGCAGATTGTTTTCTTTAGCCTTCTTTTATCTCTTTGTCCATAAAACTTCAATGCAGATATTTTGGGTGATATAAATACAGCAATTAAAAGCCAATTTTATGCACAAACATGTACTTTAGACTATATTATATATCAATAAATTTATGTTATCCTATCTAAAAGGACAGATGATCACTTTCTATTGCATCTGACACTTTATTTTAAAAAAAACATGTTTGGTCTGCTTTAATCAACCTTTAGTTCGTTTGCATAGAAAGTTTGGTTTGTTTGATAAAGTGTGAATGCGTAATCAAACTCTGGTCTGCCTACAAAACCAAGGTTCAAAATCATAACATGAACACCAAGTGGATCAGAAGATGCTCCAAAATTAGGATATGAACCACATCATATCAATGACAATATATATCGTCATAGTCAAGTGATCAATATCAATAGAAATTTGTGTGATACAATATAGAACCAGAACTGCACAGCATTCTACTTTTGGATTAAAGTGCGGTCAAAGTCAGAGCTTTCTGGATGAAACTCAGCTTGAACCAGAATAAATGTTCTGTTCTGAGACATTTCAGTTAAAATCCGGTCGATCCTCCAGCCAGGAGTTGTGCTTAGTTCGGGTCGACCCATTCAGTACCTGCACCGCCCGTCCTGTCATTGTGACGGCCACAGGAAGCGGACCTGCAGCTCTGTTTCTGGCTTCCTGTCCAAGCTGCTCGGTTTCTGTAGAGAAGGGGGAGCGATCTCTCGTAGGCCAACGAAGAGCCGGCTTTGCCTCTCTGTTTCCATGACAGCCGCTCTCTCGCAGCATTCAGCCGTGGGACGGCCTCTGCATCTGAAATCAGTTCCCAGCGGTGTTTCAGAGCCTCTCGTTCTCTTCCTTCAGCTGCTTCGCTGCTTCTTCTGCTTCTTTCTCCGCCGTCCCTGTCTGCGATTTTTCTTTCCTAAAGCAGTAGTGTTTCATCTCAACTCGATGCAGTCCGTTTAAATCTACATGTCGAGCATCACTTGCATCTGAAGGAGGCCTGAGATCAGCCTTTGTTGTCTTTGTAAATTCTTCAAGACCGTGAGGTTGAACTCTGAGCGAGAACACGCTTTAATTATTCACTACTGTCGTCCTGTAAAGATTCAGATATTAGCTCAGAAACAGAGAGAAGATGTGGTTTTTTTTTCTTATTTTGTTGTGTATTTAACTAAAAATTGGATGCAGACGTGTGCTTAAAAAAGCCTGGACTGTGTTGATGTAGAAACAGATTGACGCATCTGATATGTAAGATTAAACCTCAGAGGCTTCCAGTAACAAGTTAGAGAAAAAACAACGACCTGCACTTCCTTTCCATCATCGTTTAGTCATTTGGGTTAAAAGCAGTCTGACCTAGTTAAGTCTTATTTGAGTTAAAATATCAGCTGCTCAGGCCTACAAGTTCAAAACTGCAAGAAAATATCTCAGCAGTGGGGAAATCCTCAGCTAAAGAAAACACCTGCAAGGTTCTTTGCTAACAGACACCAGCTGCGTTTCCACTACAAATGTCACCAAAACATTTCATTGTTTCCGTTAAACAAGAGTCACCCATAAGATCACTAAAAAACATTTAAAAACATGCCGCGCCTTCCCTTCACCCTCCAATTATTTCCTGTTGTCTTAGTAACTGAATTTCCATTGACCAGATAATTGTGCAATTTTATATTTTGAAAATAAATTCACTCCAAAAGTTTTGGTGGTAAAACAAGTTTTTTTTTTTTTTTTTTGGTTGTATATTTTTCAGAACTTCAATAGAAACACTTTTTTTGCATCATGAATCATGTGATTCACAACTGAATTTTACTACTGGTGGGAACGACAAAGAAGATGACAGGAAGTGGGAATAGAATAATGTCTTCTTGAATAAGTTTTCACCTGAACAACGTTATTCACGTGTGATTTTGATTGTGTTTCTTATTTAATTGAAACACTGCAATTGTAAAATTTTGCTTTATCAACTTTATTGGAATATTGATCAAGTTTTGCGCACATTTCTAATGGAAATGGAGCTAATAACAAAGTACTGCAAAATTTGGACTTCTGAAAGTCATACACATTTCCATTTTTTCTAGAAAATTTCAGAAATTTGTCGCCGCAAATTTGCTCCTCCATTTTTTACCCATCTACAATTGCCGTAATACGACATCATATTTATTATAACTAATAAAAGTCCAAAAGGACATCCTAATTGGTTCAGGTTTGTCTTCTAAGATGACGAAAAAGAATAAGAATCAGCTTTAGTTGCTAAATTTGTGCAAAAAACAAGGAAGTTTACTTTGGTTACACTTTGCTCTCATTATAGACAAATGATAAATAAAACTTTTGGGTAAATATGTATACATACTATGTTTTTAGCAAAGAGAAAGACAAGGTTGAATCAGTGAGAATATATATAAAAAAAACTGCTTAACTCTGTTCTGCTGCATTTTGTTTTTACACAGAAGCCTAAACTATGAAATTTGTTTTAGACTAACTGCGTTAGTCATAGTTGTGGTGGCAGAAATCGCAAATTACTTCATCAATTAAGAATCTGTGATATAATAAAACCGCTGTTTGCCTTCAGATTTGACAGATTCACACCAACATGCTGAAGTGTGACTTCTACATATTTAAAGTGACAGCATGCCATTTTTCCATCCTCAGGATGTCGGTACCTTGGTTTCAGTACTTTCACATAGACTGCTTGTGTAACTTTAGCAGTTTAACTGTGAGAAAAGCGATGAAAGACTGGAAATCATCCATTTGTTTTAGCTCTGACAGCTGCTGCAGCTGGTTTATTGGAACCAGAACATGGCGGATTGTTCCGGTATCCTGGTTCCAGTGTGCTCTGTAACCCATCATCTTTCTTTCATAAAACATTAAAACCACTGAGTAACACATGTGTGACTGGTAGGGATGCAAGCAACTATTATATTTAAGATTAATGGTTTCTTAAGTCAATATAAACTAATGTCCGCTCAGACCTTCTTTGAGTGTAGTTTGACCGCCATCCAGCAGAGGGCGCCGCTGGTCATACTGAATCAAGATCTCCAAAAATTAAATCGTCAAAACCCAAAAATTTTATTAGCCGATAAAATCGATGTATCGCCATTGCCATCTTTCCGTCCTTCGTCTCATTTCACAGGAGACGAAGGACGCTTTTTAGCTGCAACTTCTCGCTCCAAATGCAAGGAGAAATGTGGGAGGAATTTATGGAAAACAATCGGTGCCCTCGCTGATGCGGGGCAGGAACATCACAGCTCTCAGAGCTGAGCAGCAGTTGGAGTTTTAAAAGATTTATTAGCGCTCCAGAAAACATGGAGCCGGCTTGTTTTACAGCTGCATTTTCAGACTTTTCTCCACTCTTTTCGGCGTCACAGAAAAAGCAAACTGAAGTCTGATCAAACTGGTACTGGATATCACGTTTCCTGGAGGCGGATCTTCATCTTTAATGGGGCTCACACAGCAGCTTCTCTCTTGATTAAATCGCAGCAGCGTAATGAAGCAGAAACCAACTCCTCTGTGGACCTGCTGCATTTCAGTCTGCGCGTTTTCTGTTTTTCCCCTTCCTGGTGGGAGTGTGACTGCGGTCGTTGCTGAAGGTTTCTGAGACACAACCTCCAGAAGACGGAAAGACCAGAGAGCAGCTGCTGGCGACGGAGGAAGAGGGGAGGGAGGGCGATGAGGGGAGCGCTCGCTTGTTGTGAAGAAAAAGAAAGACGTGGAGGTGTTCCTCTGCTTCCTCTCAGTCGGATTCAACCAGCTTTGGGGACTCCCTCCTGCTCCTCTTTTCTCTTCTCCTTCTTTTAATAGTTATCCCTATTTTTCCACCAGTGCATGTTTGTTGCACGCAGTCGAGCGGCGGCTGCGAGGTGCGTCGACCGTGCAGCATGGAAACCAGATCCGTGTTCAGCCTGCACAGAGCGCTCGCTCAGCCCGTCAAGATGTGCATGTTTGATTTCCCCGTCTCCATCCTGGACGACCTGGTGAGCTCCGACGCCGCTTCGCGCCGAGACGCCTGTCTGTCTGTAAGCAGGCGTTACATTTTTAATGTCTGCTCGCATTATTTTTATTTATTTATTTGCATCTGTGCGCGCTTTGATGCTTCACGACTGAACGTAGGAGTGTGCATGTGGTCGTGGCGTAAACAAAGTCTGACAAATGTATGTTTTTTTGGGTGTTTTTTTTTTGTGCTGGTTTTTGCATAAAATAGGCAGCAGGATGATATCTGCAGAGAAAATGTGGTCGCTGCTGTACGCATGTGTGGTTTACAGTTTGTCACGTAAAAGGACTCTAAATCTGCAGTTATGCATTGCCAACTATACCCCCAGTATCGAGCGATTCAATTAGGAGTTTCAGAGTCACAGATCGATTTTTGATTTAGAATTGACTTTTCTAATAAATATTATGTGACTGAGAAGAGGGATACATTGTGTAAACAAACATAGCATTTATTTAAAACAGTTTCATATGGCATAAAATTCCATCAGTTCATATTTCTGCATGAACTTCTGTAACTGAAATTACCAGCATTAGGTTAGCTTAGCCGCTAAAATTAAACTGCTTAAGATTTTTATTTTACTTAAATAAATAAATAAAAAAGAAACCAAAGACTTTTTCAAAAGCAGAGCAGCAGAGTGGACGCATAAGGCCACATGCAGAATACTCTCACTTGGAAGTGACAAAGACTACCAATTCAATGCATTTTAAAATTGATTTCTGAGCATTTTGAATAATTTAGGATTCCGTAAACTTTTTAACTGACAGCAGCTGCTATGACAACAATAAACAAACCACAAGCTAGGAACTAGCTCTCGCCTTGGAGCAACACCTGCCATGAACTCAATTCAAGACTATCTGGCTAAAGCCAAAGAAGATTTCTTACGGAAATGGGAAAACCCACCGCAGTGCTCAACGTGCCTCGAGGAGTTTGACAGGATAAAGACTCTTGGTACGGGCTCATTTGGAAGAGTTGTGCTAGTCAAACACATAGACACAGAACAATACTTTGCCATGAAAATCCTGAACAAGCAGAGGGTGGTGAAACTTAAACAAATAGAACACACATTTAACGAGAAGAAGATATTACAAGCTTTGACCTTTCCTTTTATCGTCAGACTCGAGTATGCCTTTAAGGACAGCACCAATTTGTACATGGTAATGGAGTACATTGCAGGAGGAGAGATGTTCTCTCACTTAAAAAAATCCGGAAGATTCAGTGAGCCACAAGCACGATTTTATGGTGCCCAGGTAGTGCTGACGTTTGAGTTCCTACATTCATTAGACCTCCTCTACAGAGATCTGAAACTTGAGAATCTTCTCATTGACAACCAGGGCTACATTCAGGTGACAGACTTTGGATTTGCCAAGAGAGTAAAAGGAAGAACCTGGACATTGTGTGGAACACCAGAATACCTCGCGCCAGAGATCATTCTAAGCAAAGGCTATTACAAAGCTGTGGACTGGTGGGCCCTCGGAGTTCTCATCTATGAAATGGTAGCTGGTCACCCTCCGTTCTTTGCAGATCAGCCAATTGAGCTCTATGAAAAGATAGTGTCTGGAAAAGTGCGATTCCCGCCCCACTTCAGCTCTGATTTGAAGGACCTGTTGAAAAACTTGCTGCAGGTGGACCTGACCAAGCGCTATGGAAACCTGAAAAACGGCGTCAAGGACATCAAAGGCCACAAATGGTTTTCCAAAACAGACTGGATCGCAATATACGAGCGAAAGATGGAAGCTCCGTTCATACCAAATTGTGGAGGCCCTGGAGACACGAGCAACTTTGATGATTACGACGAGGAGCCTATCCGCTTTTCTGTAACGGAGAAATGCACCAAGGAGTTTGCAGATTTTTAAGACAGAAGAACATCAGGGAGTCATTACGGGGACCTTTCCACTCCTCTAAAAGACTTGGGATAGAATGAGGACCATCTTTTTTTTTTTTCAGATCGACGCAGTCCCTTCATTCCACAGGGCTGAAAGAGGTCGCTGTGTTCCTTGAGTGCTGAAAACTTTAACTCACCATCAAAAACACCTGCATAGTAAAGCAGACAAGTAACTCTTTGTTCTTACTTTTCTGTTTTTGTCACTTTGAAGGCAGTTAGTTTGAATGTATTTGTTCCCAACTGAAATGTGATATGTTTTTTTTTATTTTTTGAAAGGGAGTGGAAAAATTGAGATTGTGGCCAGTAACAGTCCACATTCTGACTTAGGAGATCATTTGGCACATAGTGGAGTGGGTTGTTTTGCTTTTCTTTTTTCATCGTCAGTGTAATTTTGATGTCCACATTCCACTCTGTGAGGCAGCGTAACTAGCAATATTTGGTCCATTTGGTGCACATTGCAGTTTTTAAAACAAAGAAATTTTGAGTGTATAAAGCATGATCAAATAGAAAGTATCTGGCTGACAAAAAAATAAGTTCTTTCCTTTCTTTGCTTTTTGCCTCTGAAAACCAAATCAACCCCTCAAACAAATCTCACTTTTGTTTTTTGTTTCCACATTTACACACATTTGGAGGTTGCAGCTGGTAAAGTTTGCATTAAATAAAATGCAAGTCCATCTGTGTGTTTGCTGAATTTGGAGTTGGCCAGTTGCGTTTAAATGACATACTCTGCCATCTTGCTGGTTTTGGTCAGTTTGGTCAGGGTTTGTTTTTTTGTTCTTGTGTTCAAAGTTAGTCTTTGCCCCTCAATTTTGGGTTCCCTTGGGACCTTTTGTCACAAGTCTGTGGGAAAATGGATATTCATTAAAGGGATATAAATGAATAAAATCCTTTTTGAGGATTTGGAGTGTTTTAAGTCAAAAAGGTCAGTGTGCATAGTGTTCACGCTTTGTGCCTGAGCAGAAGAAGATGTTTTAAAATTTTAAGAGAGGTGATATATATTTTATATATATCACCCCAAATAAATTTGTTTAATTCTTGTGACAGGTTTGCAAATCCTGGTTATGCATGTTTGAAAGCTTGATTTCAAAGTTTGTCTCATAGAACACCAGCTAAACTGAAGACTGCTCCTCTGTATCACAAAAAAATTTATTTTTAAAATTGAAAAAAATTATATGTTCCTATAATATATAAACAATATAAGAACATTACAAATATTACTTGAGTACTATTTTGGAGTATACTAGCACAATATTTACTGCTCATGAATTTTACATCCAACAGTCAGCATACAATATGCTTATTTTTTTTCTATTAGTTTTAGATTACTGAAATGCCTCTCCCCACGAAGCAATCCAGACGTCTTAAAAATGTTGTTGCATTTTATTCAATCTGCAGTGTATAACTTTAATAAAAAAATGTTTTCTCCATATTTGTTAAAGCTGTCACCATGTTGTGCCAGTTTGTTATGAGACAGATAATCTGTGAAAACAATCAATCTGCTCCACCTGCTCCCTGAGCTGCTATTACTGGTTAAAGTAACGCAACGTTCTGGCCCAAAACAACCAGTCAGAACCAGGAGGAGGGTCTTAGCGCTGTTAAGCAACGTCATTCACTCACTGTTAAATGTGCTAATGTGGAGAAACAACAGATAATTAAAGGAAAACCGTTTATTTGTCCTCATCGGTAACTATGCTAACCAGACTGAGCATTCACAACAGGCTATGGTCGCTACAGCATAGCCCAGAGCAAGGGGAGGGAGGATGAGCAGCACTTCATAAGCTTGTGATTGACAGCACTGAAACTCTCCTGCCACTGACTGGTTTTTCTAGCACTTTGAGAAAGCAGAGGATTTTTTTTTCACAGATTATCTCTAATACCATTCTGTCACAACATAATGACAGTTTTAACAAATATGTAAAAAATTTTTTTTATAAAAGTTACAAACTGTGGCTTTAATTTCACTAAGGAGAGGACGGGTCAGGAGGGACCTGGGTTAGAGCTGCTGCTGACTCATCTGTTGTTAAGTGGTAAAAGGTACAGGGACAAGTTAAATATATGAATATCTTGGGAATTTTTTTCCTAAATTCATTAGATGCTAGTGAAAAGAAGGCAAACAGTAGTCTGTAGCTAAGCTAATTATGCTAAATGGTTGATATTTTCACAGTCAACCATTTAGAGAAAAACCTCTTGGAGAAAAACTGGGTTACAAATTGACACTCTTGCCTTTTTCTCTCTCTCTCTTTATTTCTCTGTTGTTTTGAAAACCTGACTATTAGTTTTCTTGACGGCGTGGCAACAGCCACAGTCGTTGTTTTCTACTGACTGATGCTGTCAAGCTCCAAGTTTTTTGGTCTGGGAGGGGTAACATAAAATCTTCGAAAATACAATACGATTAATTTTGTAAGTGACAGGGCCACAATTAAAAAAAAAATAAAATTCTATGAACAAAATAAATTGTGAAGGGCCTTTCGGTCAGGGTCCCTTAGAATTGTCATAACTTTTTAAATTTTTCTCCAGACTTATAAAAGATGCTTCCTTTTTTTTCCTGTGCAGAAAATAACAAAACATAACAAAAATAAGTTCCTTTATATTAAAGCAGTCATTCAGAGAGTAACTGTTTGTGTTGTGAAAATGTGTCAGGGAGTTTGAGTCAACCTGCAACTGAGTGTGGTGTATGTTGCTTCTTTCTGGGTCTCTGTGTGGGTGTTTATTTGTCACGTCAGAGATGATTAGATCTGCAGGCTTTTCCTGCATATCTACAGAATAAACATCTAAACAACGTGGATTTCTTCCTTTTGTAGCATTTTATCAAGTGTGCAGCTCAGATAAGCTTTTTCTTTCATCCATCTGTGAAGCAGTGTGCGGTTTGGTTGTTTGGACATTTTGTTTTCTTTTTGCGTCGCAACTTTAAAACTAAAATCTTATTTTTTTCATGCAGAATTGAACAGAACTTGTTGTCACTGGGCGAGAAGCGGGACACAGTCACGTTTTTTGACTGTAGTGCAAAAACACAAAATATCACCAAGTATTTTTGCTCTAATTTCTACTGCAAATAATTTAGTACACTTGAAATAAGACTAAAGTAACTTACAAGTAACTTTTCAGAAAGATATAGGAGTTAAATGGTTCCTTAATATAGATGGAAAAGTGATTGTTCCACTGGGAGATTATTTCACTTTTAGTTTGGCAAAATGTCTTGGAAATTTTAAATGTCAGTTAAAATTCAGAAAGAAATATGAGCTTGTTTTAAGCCTATAATATAAAAAAAATTCTAGTTCCACCAGATTATTCAACTTATAAAAACAATATTTTTCCATATTGTAACTCAATAAGAAATAATTACTTAGTATCTATATCTTGCTAAAAAGTGACTTACAAGTTTGTTTGGTCTTTTTTCAAGCATACGAAGATTTGAGAAATAGAAATTAAACCAAAACTGCTTGGCCAAATGTTGCCTTTTTGCAGTGCATGGAGTTAGCATGAATGCATGAGTTTACTCAAGTTACTCCGCCTTGTGTACACACATTGCAAAAAAACAAAAATAATAATAATCTGCACAGAAAAAACATTTGTTGCCAGGAAACAGTGGCTGTTGCTGGACCCTTTGAGTAAAGTGAGTGTTAGTTTTGAAAAACTGGTGAGTTTGAGTCAGCCTGCAGCTGAAGCACGGTGGTGGCTGCTTCTGTCCAGCTACTCTGTGGTTTTACGAGCATAAATGCGTGCTTGTCAGGTAAAATCAGATTAAATCTGTAGTTTGTTGCCCCAGAGCAGTGAAACTGATTTCTGTGCTGCTTTCTTCGTTCTGAGTGGCGACATTTCCACCAGTAAAGGAGAAAGACTTTCTACTGTTTTTGTTTAATCGTCTGTGCAGGTCAGAGATCAAAGCTTGGACTTGTTTACATCTTTTTCTTTGTATCCATTGATTTTCTCACCCCCGCCTGAAGCTCAGTCTGCCTGAACTGTGGCTTTTGTCTCGTGATCCGAGTTGAGTTTTGTCACCTCAGCTAAAGATGTGACAGATGATTTGCTGGATTTCCGTCATCTCTCTTCTTCGTTGGTATAAATCTTGTTTGCACCTTTGTTTTGGGCCAAACCAAGCCCCCTGAAGCAACCACCTCCCCACAAAGAAGCCTTTGATAATTTGACATGTTTGATCATATCATTTCCTTTAAACACAATGCAATGCTTCTTTTGTTCTCTGCCGATTAATGATGACTAAATTGTTTTACCCACTACCTGACGTTAAAGCTGCATTTTAGTTTTAATCTGAAGTGCTTATTTTTCTAGTGCTTTTAGATATTTTTAGATAATTACCTCTCCTTTCTATTCTCCCATCGGGCAATTTTGTTTTTGTCATCCATTACATGATAGTAGTTTGTGATTCATGCCACAGTAGAGCATCATTATTAGACATGTTAGTTTTAGACTGTGTTGCAGGTTTTTGTTTTTAATCTTGGCAGTTTATTCATAGTTCTGATCACTTGTCAGTTAATTCTCATAAAACAAGTAATATTATTTACTTATTTGTTATTGATCCTATTTTTTCACTTCTGATACCAGTACAGACATCTGAAGTTTAGTACCGGCTGATACTGATCCAATACAGAAAACCAGTGCTGACTTGAACTTAAAACTTCAGTTTTTTGTTTTTATAAACACAGTGTAGTGAATTACAAATGTATTTGATAGCTGTGCACCAGTACCGCTCACTTAAATAAACCAATAGCTTCAAGTTTGGTCAAACATGAAAAATAACTTTAATTTGTTATAATGAAACTGAAAATGACAAAAACAGTGTAAAAAAAACTGATTCATTGCTTTAAAATTTAAAGAATGAAAATCAAAGTTTTATCTCCTCACAATAACTTTTCCCCACTTGGATCCCTCTAACGGAAGCACTGAGTGGTTCTTTTAACATTATTTGTAGAAAATATTAGGATTCATTATTCAGTTCTGTGCAGCAGGAGGACTTCTGATCATGGGCTCACTGCAGAAATCTGTTTATAAACTCATCATCCATCTGTGAGTTCTGACTAAAGTTCTGACTCAAAACCAAAACTGAAAACAGCAGCCATTTTGTAGAGGCTGTGTCGTTTGCAAATACTAAAAAGTTTGCAGTCATAAATCCCAGATAAATGGTGCAGCCATGTAACGTTGGGTGCACCATTAAAATCTTATTTTTTTCATGCATGTAAAGCTGCAAACAGATTTACATGCAGCTGTTTGGCATTCAACCCCACATCTACATCTTGGCATTCAAGTTTCTTGTCAATTTCAGCCCGTGACTGAAGGCTGTTATTGTTCCAACAGCACTTCAGGTGAAACATAAAGCTACATTGTTGTAGGAAATGTTTCCTGACTGTAATGTCCGATGAATCTGTTCACAGGGACGCTGTTGCCGTCTCGTTCTCGAGCTCAGCTTGTCTCAGCTCCCACACCTGATTGTGTTTCTAGTGACCTAAATTCTTCTTCGGGGTTTAAAAAAGTCTCCTGACCTCACTGCAGTCGGCTTGTTGTCGTAACGGGGTCAAACTGGGCGACGAGGCTGAAATAAAGAGCAGCTTCCCATGAATCAGGAGGAAATCATTTTAAGCCTTCGTCTGAATCTGAAACTTTTAGGTGAACATGATTGGGCTTTTTTGTTTTAATGTTGCATGAAATAATAATGCATTTCTTCACTGCAAAAACATATCCAAGTATTTTAGTTTCTATTGCAAACTGGGGACTCACCTATCCACTTTTTTCACATCCAATACCGATATCTGATGTTTAGTATTAGCCGATACAGGAAAACGGCGCTGAATTGAGTTCAATTTTTATTTTCTTCAACCCAGACTTAAATGTACTGAATTACAAATTTATTTAATAACTCTATACATGTGATATTTACATATCTTTCAACCAACTAACCAACCAACCACTTGCAAACCAAACCCAGTTGCCAACCAACTCCTCCCCAATAAAACCAACCAACCAGTTTATAAAACCAACCACTTGATCTACCTGCCAACTAACCAAACAACAGACGATGTACAAACGAAAACCAACTAATCAATTA